TAGATCTCAGTGTAGCAGACATGAAGACTCGTATTCCTGCCTTTCTGTCATTTTCCTCCCTTTCCTAGATCTCAGTGTAGCAGACATGAAGACTCATATTCCTGCCTTTCTGTCATTTTTCTAGACTTACATTAGCTAAGCTTCATTTTCTCCTTTCTATGTTTTGATTATTTTTTTATCAGTGTCCTGTTTTAATCTTGACGATTTCAGTGGGTGCGTACAAAGTTGCTGTTACTTTTAACTACATGTTGTTGGAAGTGAATGCCTCTGTTGGCTCATTTATTGGAGAAAACTGAAGAGACTGATTTCATTTTAGGAAGGGCAGCGTGGATTATGAATGAAGTAAACTCTTAACATTTTGACATTTATTCTGTTTGTGTTGTCTTAAGTGACTCGGCCCTCAGAGGCACACGCAAGGCCACATTCTTCCTCTGTCATTTCCCTTGGTGGGTACTGGCTCCCAATCATGTTCGTACTGGAAGAGAGCAGTTCTCTTTGGCTTTATATGCCACGGTTTTGTGTTTCATGCCTCTATATTTATTTTATTATATGTATATTTATATATGCATACATTTTTATTCAAAGTATTTCAGACTTCATTTTTTTCAAGTGTCTTTAATGTAATGTATAAAGTTTTTGTTCAGCCATATCCAGAAAGAACTTTCATCGTTGATCATTTTTTGCTGTGAAAACTTAATCTTAGATCTGCAAATAATTTCATTATGAGGCTGTCATCTGTTAGAAATGTGCTTTGTGTGAACAAGTCACTTGTCCTGTATTCATTTTTAGAAGAAAATCAACAAACAACTTTAAACCAAAGAGGACTTTGGAAGATCATCTGTTCTGGCTCCTGGCCTTGAACTAGATGACTGTTGAAACTTATAAAACCAGTTCTTGCCTCTTTTGTCTAAGAATAACTCACAGAGCAGAAATCCTATGATTTATAAAGCTGTGGGACCGAACTGGACCTAAAGCCCAGAAACTGAATGGGCAAGTCCTACGTGGCAAGTTCTCCTCTCTTTTAACTTACTATTCCCTGAAGCAAATCTCCAAGGAGCAATAGACCCTTTTGTGATTAGAAATATTTAATCACTAATTGGAAGGAACTACAAAACAGTCCCATGATTCAGTTACTGGCAACTTCTGACAACTAGAGCTATGACAATATTTGGAGTATGATGGAGGTGGTGAATTTGATCAGGATACACTGTATGTGTATAGGGAAATATCACAATGGAAATCCCTTCCCAGTACAATGAATATGACAGTAAAATGTTTTGAAATATTAAAAAAAGGACAAAATATGAGATAGACTTTAAAAAGGTTTAAAGGGAGAATAGTTGCAGACTCCTGCATGGGTACTGATAGCTTCTAGATGAATAAAAATGTTCACTGATTACTTAATGTCTTTTTGTTACCACATCTAGCTGTTTAGGATTGCCCATCTTAACTAAGCAGTTAACAAAGAATTATTTCTTCTCTTCCAGCTTATCATGCATATAGTCAAATGTTGGAATGCCTACAAGGTTATAAGCGGGTTAACAACACCTTTTGTCAAGGTAAGACTCACTGAATTCACTGGTGTGGACTGGAGCTTGTTTGGGGCCTTTAGAGACTTGAGTTGTTTTGCCACGTGTTATTCTGGAGGCCAGCATGTAAAGGTCACATGAGGAACCACTTTCTGCGTCTACAGCCAAGGGGAGCATAGATATTCAATGTGCAGTGGGTGGAATTGCCTTCTGGCCATTGAAACTTTAGGACCTGTTTTGACCTTTGATGATCTGTGATTCATCTGTGATGTAACACAGTGGTTCCCACTGCGGCTCATGCCCATCAGAGCATGGGTACAGATACACACACAGCCCTAGCAGAAGCACTTCACTGACAAAGCTCTCTGTTTTATAAGAACAATGCTGGCCATCTAAAAATATTTAGGGACCAAATATCAGTGTGACTATACTTCTAGGCCATAGCAAAAACTAGAGTGAAATGTCAGTTGTCCTGAGTACTTGAGCTACATTTATTTTGAGAACCCAAGCCAAGCTATACAAACAAGGGAAACTCAGAGCCCATGTGTCTATAATTTTAAAAACAAGGAAGCTAGCCAGGCACTAGTAGCTCATGCCTGTAAGCCCTAGCTGTCAGCCAGGGATGCTCTAGGGTCTTTCTGTCCTACACCATATATAGTATACAGGACCCTGTGGCTGCTTTGCAGTTCTGAGATGCATTTGGGAACAGCAGCTGTGCATAAGAGCAGAGAAATAGCATGAAATCATTCATGCAGGTGTTAGCCCTGGGTACTTAGCTTCCTGTGCTGTGGATCTCTGTGAGCCACTGAACTGCAGGACTGAAGCATCGTTGCTCATCCTTTATTGTTCTGCACCTACATAGATGATCATGATCCAGCTCCCATATGCCCACCACTGCTAATGTCTCTAAAGGTCAGGTGGATAAAGGAACCATGGGTTCTTTTGGTACGCTGTGCTTCTGTGCATTTGTTTGTCATTTATTACCATTTAGAGACCTTTGAAGACTAGAAACCAACTCTTTCGGAGTGTTTTATAGTTTTAGCTTTCCTTTACCTATGATGAAAAATTCACTGAAGAAGACATTTGGTACTAAAGTCTTCTTTGCAGAAAGTATTTTTATGGTCAGCTTCATTTCTGTAATAGCATTGTGCATAATTCTCATTATTTGTGGGCCAGTTTTGATAATATTGTTCATGTAGCCAGTGTTGATTACCAGTTTATTTGAAGTGTATGCTTAATAGATTCCTATATCTTTCTAATATCTCTATACAGTGACCCCCTCGCTTGTGGTTTTGTTTCAGTGTGTGTTTTTCATTTGCAGTTGGTCTGTTATAGATAACATGCACTTCTTGCTTTTATTTTGCATTCTGATATTTAGCCTGATATTTTTGTATTAAAGTCTTCCCTAAGTATTGATTCAGTTAGATTTAAGCCTGCCTAAAATGATTGTCTTGTCAGCATTTTTTGTTCTCCTGTTTCCTTCTTCTTCCTTTCTTTTAGACTATTTGAAAATTTTTAAGAATTTCTCTCTTGCCTTTTCCCATTACTGCTAAGTGATTTCTGTAGGAATTGTAATGCACATTTTTGGGTTTAGTAACTTGCTCATGGAACCACCTCACAAAGAATCTAGAAAGCCTGATTGCAGATCAGCCCTCTTTCTGCCCTGGGCTCCATATCTTATTTAAGGTCTATGCCTTGTCTTCATTGATATCTTCTGAGTACCCTACTAATATCTCCTCCTACTTGGCTTTGAAATTATTTGTTCACATTATATGTTAAATATTTGCTTATATCATTCTTCCTCTGATAGACCTGAACACATGAATGATTTTTTTTTAAAAATTCATGCAAATAAAGAGCTGTTTGTTATGGGTAAGAGATTTATGCTGGGTGTGGTGCTTCACACCTGCAATCCCAGATATGCAGAGATTAGTTAGATTATGGTTGTTTTGAGACCAGCCTAGACAAAAAGTTAGCAGAAACTCCATCTCAACAAAGAAGCCAGGCATGCTGGTTCTCTTCTGTAACCCCAACTGCTTAAGAGGCATAAGGTGAGGGGGGAGGGGAGATTGAGGTTGGCCTGGGCAAAAACATGAGAGCCTATCTAGAAAGTAACCTAAAGCAAAAAGCACTGGAGGTGTGGCTAAAGTGGTACAGTGCTTGCCTAGCAAGCACAAAGCCATGAGTTCACACTCCACTGGTGATTTAAAACAACAACAACAAAAAGAGTTACTAATCTACTTTAATTGGTCAAGTATCAGTGCCTTAAAAACAAAACTCAGATATTTTGTCAAAACTTAGCATTTATAAACTTGGAATGTAATAAATAATTATCTCAAGAGTTAAAGTAGATAACCTTAATAACAAAGTTTATTATGTGACACTTAACTGATACATCTATTATTATAAATAACTTATTATTAGTCTTTAATGGAGACTGCGAGAAGCAGGCACTATTAACCCCACTTTGTAGATGGAGAAATTGAGACTCTAAAACGATTGTATCTTTTATCACATAGAAGTGGTAAGGATCAGAAGTGAGGACCAAACCCAGGTAGACTGAGGGCAGGACTTACATCGCGAACCACCTTGTCCTCCTGTAGGAGAGGGAGCTAACAATGATTGCATGTACTGTTCACCTACTATGTCTTTGTAGGTTTGCTGTGCACTGCATTTCATCTTTAAATGGCCCTATAAGATTTGCACAATGTTAGTCCCAATTAGAAGCTGAGACATAGAAGAGTCATTGACTTTCTGCTGTCAGACAGGTGCCCACTAAGAAGCATCTCGAGGATTGTTCTCCTCAGCCCCATACGTATCTGCCCCCTTGTCAAGTTTATACAGACTTGTAAAGTGTTACTAATACTCAGATGAACTAAGTAGAATAGAAGACATGCTGCGTGTGAGAGCCAGAAGTTAAAACAATGACTGGATCTGTTTAATTAAAGAAAAGATGATTAGCCTCAGGCATCACTGTCTCACCCCTCTAGTTCTAGCCACTTAGGTTCAAAGCCAGCCCAGGCAAAAAAATTTATGAGATTCTGCCTCCAATTAACCAGCCTCATTCTAGACTAAAGGCATAGCTTCAGTGGTAGAGCACTAGCCATGAACAAGCAAGCCATGCAGGAATATAAGGCCCTGAGTTCAAACCCTGGTGCCAGTGCAAAAACTAGTACCAGGGTTTTTTTCCTGTATCTTTTTTGTTGGCTGGGTCAAAGTTCATAAACTCCATAAATAAAAATACCACTTTAAGAAGTGAAAGCTGAGCATGGTGGTGCATAGAGAGCCAAATGTGCATGTAAACAGTTCCTAGCAAAACCTCTTCACAAAAGAGAATGGAAAAGTGTTAAAAGAAAAAGAAAAAGATGGTTAAGTCAGGTGCCAATGGCTCACTCATGTAATTCCAGTTATTCAGGAGGCTGAGATCTAAGGAATTCAAGATTCAAAGCCAGTCCCATCAAAAAAGTCCATGAGACTCTTACCTGCCAAAAAGCTGGAAGTGGAGCTATGACTAAAGTGGTTGAGCACTAGCTTTGAGCAAACAAAAAAAAGAAAAGAAAAGAAAAAAGAAACATAGTGGCAGCATCTAGGTCTTGAGTTCAAGTCCCAGAATAGACACACAAGAAAAAGCTTTGAGCTCTTCTCCTTTCCTCTGTTGGAATGGCTGAGTGATCCTTAGTTTTATTCATGCTGTGCCTTGCAGATGTCTCTGCCTCGGTCGATTCCAGGATGGTCAGCCAGTTACACCAAATCCTGGCGTTTGCTGGTCTCAGGGGTCCATTTGCAAAGCAGTGTTACACTTTTGGCAAGGATCCAGAATTGAAGTATCCGAGAAAATTCTATTTTGTGGAAGGCACTGCTCAATTACACTACAGACAAGTTTGACTCATAAAAGAATATGATTTCATTCAGCACAATCTATTAAAGTTGCTATTGAGAGAAGGGCTTCACTTGTGCCTTTGTGGTTGGCAAAATGAAATAGGACTTCACATTACATGTCTGTCCTCTCTTCTGTTCTTCTAGGACCTAGAAGCTTTGTGATGGCGTTAACTAAGCCTCAGAAAATTTCAAAAGGATCTCGTTAAACATCTAATTACTTGTGCGTTCCATTGTTCTTACAGCCTACCATCTTCTCAGTTTACAAAGCCCATTTAAAGTTAAAGTGATTCATAACTACGATTACATTATTTCCTTCAATGAAGTGAACTCATGTCCCAAAGCAACTCCTACTAATCAGGGCTTAATAACAAAGAACCAACTGTGCACAAAGTTAATTTGAGAAGCTTTTAGGTAATTGCCCTCAAAGTTAGGGTTTTTTTCCCTCCCATTCCAATGGGGTAATTACCTTTTCAAAGGCATGTTGTATTTCCTAGACTTGGACTTAGAAACCTGCCTCTCTAGCCTCATGATGTGGAATTACTATGATTTGTTTCACTCACAGTAACAAATAATGCTGCCATATTTGCTGGTGAATCTAGGGTGGCATGTGTCACCTGTCATTTGATTCTAGTATGGAGGGTTTGATATAAACTAGCATTAAATGAACCAGTTCCACATGGGAATAACAGTAGAAATGCCTCCTCTTGCTAAAGATCAAGCAATCTCTGTTTTCACCATCATTTACTATGACATAGTGAATTCTTAAAAGTTACATGTAAATCAAAGTTTAAAAACAGAATTTGTAGCAGGTTGCTAGTGGTTCATACCTGTAATCCTAACTGCTCAAGAGGCTGAGATCAGAAGGATCTAGGTCAAAGGCAGTCCAGGCAGAAACATTTGCTGAACTCTATCTCCAATTAATAATAATATAAAAAAGCCTGGCTAGAGGTATGACTCCAGTTGTAAAGCACTAGCTGGGAGGAAAAAGAAAGATGAGTTATCATTTAAGCCCCTTAATTCAAGCCCTGGTACCAGCTCCCAAACCCCACAACTATCTAAATATCTCTTGAGATAGCAAGGTTGCTATTCAGTTTCATAACTTTATAGATATTAAATATTGTTTTATTTGTGCTTTCTATGTTTTTGTGTAT